AAAATCACAAAAAAACAAAACAGACCAAAACACCAACAAAAACCAAAAATCCCGCGAACCCGCTGCAATAAAAGAACGGAGATATTATTCGGCGCCCCCCCGCCCCTCAGAGCCCGCTGCCCTCAGCGCTCCCACCTTGGCCAGCAGCCGGCCCTGGTGCGCGGCCAGCGGGAGGGTGACGGCGGTGCGCAGCACGGCAGCCCCGCCGGCGATGGCGGCCCAGCAGGGCAGCCCGGTGGCTTCCTGCAGCGCGAACAGCCCGCCCTCGGCCCAGTGCACGGGCGGGGAGCCCGCCGCCCACTCGTACCAGCCCTCGGTGCCGCCATGGCCGCCCGGCGCCGCTCCCGCTCCCGCCAGGGCCCGCGTGCCCACCCTCGTGCCCACCCGCGTGCCCGCCCGCGCCAGCCGCCACATGCCGCCCGCTCCCCCGGCACTGCGCATGCGCGGCTCGGCACCGCCCCGCGGGCGCCATGGCGGCTGAGGGCAAGGGAAGGGCAGTGAGGGCAGCGCCTCCCTCCATSGCCTGCACCGCCCTGGAACCACACCGCTCCGGGGCTGCACGGGCACAAACACCGCCCACCGTGCACACACCGGCTCAGCTGAACGGAACCGAGCATCACCCACACCTGCTCCTGCACAGGACAGCCCCAGGGGTCAGTCCCACCCTGTCCCTGCTCGCCGGTTCAAGGTCCTACCCAAACTGGCTYTGGGCACTGCCARGGYKGGGGCAGAGTGTCACACCTCTTCCAGTTGATATTTCTTCCCAATATCTAGCCTAAATTTGTATTTTTCCCATTTATATCCGTKACTTCTTGTCCTGTCACTCCAGTTCCTCACAAGGAGTCCCTCTCCAGGTTGCTCACAGGCCACTTCAGGTAAGGAAGGTTGCTATGAGGAATCCCCACAACCTTCTCTCAACCTGGAAATTACATTCACGAGTAATTAATCATTAATAAGCAATTAATCATTCCACATGAACAGTGTTCTCCTGCCCAGCCGGGTGCTGGACTGTGTCTCCTTACCCCTTCTGTGGCAAGGAGATGTCAAAATACCCCTTAGACCCCACACACACTGCACCGTGTTCTCTTCCCCATGTTTGTCCTAACACTGGTTCTGTTCCCCTTTCCCAAATAAAGAGCACCTGCCAGCTCCTAAAAAAGCATGTTCCTTGGTTTATTGGACAAATAAAAAGCATTACATTGTGGAAAATGGTTTAAAAAGGGATCTGAGAATAAAAACGGTCCAATTCCCCCCACCCAGGATCTCCGAGCCTAGCCCAATGCCACACTGGTGGCATCAGGCGTGGATTGAACTGTCAGGTCAGCAAAATACTCTGGAATTCATGGCTGTAATAAATACTGAGCACTACTCCTCCATGGGATTAATAATTAATAACCCTAAACTGCACTAAAGCCTGAAGCAAACAATGGCAGCAGAGGGGAAGAGCACTAACCCACATCACAACAAGGTGTGAGATGGAGTTTTAATCCTTTTTTTCTGAGCAATTCCTCACTTTGGGATACATTTTRCCAGACCAGGTCTTCACAGGATGTATTTCAGGTGATCAGATAGCTCGAAAAAGGAGTTTGCTTTCATTCAGAGCAGCACCCAAAGGTAGTTATACAAACTTGGCTATGCAAAAKGTTTGTGGATATTTAAAATATTTAAAAGGCAGTAGTTTCTGTGGGCAGCTGGGGTGTTCTGGTTTTCAAAGGGGAACCATAATAAAAACAACTACTGCCTCTTACATCTGAGTTGTAGATCTCCTTTAAGCTATGCAAGGGAGCTGTATGGGGATCCTGACTGAATCTGTGTCACTGCTCACCCAGCCCRGCCTCACAGGACCCACCCCCTTCATCTCCTGCTGCTGCTGTCCACAGGGGACAGCTCCTGACAATGCACAAGGGAATTCTCACTTGCACTTTTCCAAACAAACCTTCACGGGGCTTATTCTGGAACAGATCTGTTTTGGAGCCTTCAGCTGAGAAGCTCTCCCTGTCAAACGTCAAAGAGAATGCACATATTCTCAAAAAATTCCAACTCACAGCTGGAAAACGCCCTCTGATCACGCTTGGGGTGTTTTTCTTTTTTGTACCTTACTTAAATTACACAAGTAGAAAAGTTATGCTTATTAATAGTTTAATGTATGAAGGAAACATCCAGATTTCTGAATATGAAGGTACATATCTCACATTAATTTAAGTCTACATAAAGTAGAGCCTCTATAACTGACATATTGAAATTTACTTTCTGCTTAGCCATTTGTTATGTAAACAATTGTACATTTATTTGCCATTCTAAAACTTCAGGATCAAGTTTACATAATTTTGCTAAATTTCTGTGTTTGCTCAGAAGCAGTTTACAGTACTAAAACCAACCAGCCAAAGAACAGCTTCAACAGAAAGTTATGTCAGAAAAAAAAAGAAAAAAAAAAAAAGAGGAGGAAAGGAAAGAAGAAAGTCTAACTAAGTTGAAACATATGATGGTGGGGAATGGGCGGTCACAATGTTCACAGAAAAAGGTCAGTTAGTAAGTTCTTCTGCAAAAAGCCTACACACTTCAGTCAAGCACATCAGTAGAATGATCTGGGAGCACATAAACTGTTTCTGCCAATTGTGGTTTCCTCTGCAAAAAAAGGAATTTCAAGGCCAGCACGTTGATCCCACTCAGCCCAGTTGGTTCATATGCACACTGTTCATGTGAGGTGTCCAAGTTCCAGTCCACACCTGCAAGAGAAACCTGCATTAACACCAGGGCAGCTCCAAGCAGGGCACAGCTCACAGCCAAACTGCAGGGCTTGTGGTTTGCCATGTCCAGGAGAATTAATGGGGCTCTGTATGTGCAGCAAATGATTGCAAACCCAGCTCCTGAATCCCTCCAGCCCCCAGAGCAAGAGACTCACTCTCCTCTTGACCTTAAMTTCAGACAAACAAGAAATTGATTTCTGTCACCTTATTTTCCCCCAACACCTTCAGCTCTGAGGAATCCCAAGCAAAGCTTTCTTTGTAGGACAAAATTTCCTCATTAAACCAGCAATCACCGTGCAGTGCTCAGGAGCCACATCAGAGCAATACCTGAACTGTGCCAGACCCCCTCTCCCACACAGCCATGGCCTGGCAGAACTGGGAGCTGCTCCCCACAATTTGGATCATTCCCAAGCAAATTAAAGCCCAGAAACATCTTTGTTTAGTAACAGTATAACACACCTCACTGTCTAATTAAAAATAAACACAGGATATAATCTAACCAGAGCTAATCATGTGCCATTATAGTATTAATTCCTGAGTACGAACAAGAGGTTTAGGGGAATTAATCCCTCTGTTTAAATTATGCTTAGAGGACAAGGCAGGTAAGATCAGAGCTCTTTCCTGCTCTTTATGTCCTTCCTCTGTGCACTCCTGGCACAGCCAGGACATCCTCAACCACAGAGCCCAGCAGAGCCCCGTGTTCCCTTCTTGGAAAGGGAAAGTTTAACTAACAGCACATAGATTGGCTTTTCCTATGAAATTTTGCCCCAAGGTTTCTTTTCCCAAATGCACAACTACACAGACAGGAATGATGACACATTTTCAGTAAAATACACAGTGTAAAAGAATGGAACAATTACCGTCTGAGGCCCGTTGTTTTCTGTGGAATTTGAAACCATCTTTATCAGCGAGTTCCAAGATGGGTCAGCAGCATGAGGCCCGTTAAAGATGGGGCCTCCAGTACCATCTGTGATGGGGGCTACGGGAGGAATTATGGCATTCCCATACACAGAGAAAGGCATTCCCTGAGGGGAAGGAAGAGCAACGATCAGGGTGCTKTCACAAACACTACTACCCCTGCACAGACGGAAGCACAAAAGGGGATTCACACTGAGTATGGGATCAGGAAGGTCCTTACCCCAACTTTCGGGAAGTCCATGTATCCTGCAGGGACGGGCTGATGGAATGTACCGGAAGGTGTCACGATTCCCGCGCTGTCTCTGTCCATGGCTTGGTGTGAGAACACGCCCGGATCTGACATGGGCCTGTGGATCATGTGGCTCCCCATTCCACTGTGACACCAGTCCACTTTATCTGCCAGCACAGAGACACGG